AATAATTTTAAAAGCATTAAAAACTTTGCTCTTATATAGTACCATAACCCTACAGCATCTTGTATGTTATTCTGATACAAATTTATATTATTATATGTCCATCAACAACAGATTTATAATTATTGCTTTATGCAGCTGTCTTTTAAATATGAGACGTTGTTGTTAAGTGACATCGAGTCAGTTCTGACCCATAATGACTCTGTATAGGGTTTCTGAGGCGCAGCTGGTAAGCTTAAACCACCAATCTGGTGGTTCAAACCAACTTTGCAGTCCAGTGCATTAACCCTCAGCACCACATCAGGGCTCCAGACAAAACTACATTTATAGACTTTTATATTTACATATGTACAGTTGACCTTGAACAATACAGATTTGAGCTTCGTGGGGATTATTTACATGCAGATTAAAAAAAAAAAATTTTTTTTTAAATGCTTTGATGCTAATCATCTCCAGGTAAGCAGTTCATCACTCCACTAAATTGTGGACTGCAGGAAAAAGGGTTCTCACGTGTTTTTCATTTGGTTTAGTGCAATACCGTAAACCTTGAATAACACCAGGGGACCCAGACACAGTGCCACTGGTGGTGCTGGAAATGTTCCCCAGAAGCAGAGCGAAGTCAAGCCATTCATTACAAGAAATTGCTCGACAGGTACCGCAGGTTGAGGTCTGCAGCTGCAGTTGCCCTCCATTTCCAGATAAATTAATCCAGCATAAGGGTCATTGTAAAAACAAAAAGGAAATTTATAAGTCATTATTGCTACACCAGCCGGGGCAAAAACGTTGCACCTTTTGTGAACTATGTATACCTTTTTGTCTGGTATTGAAAATGCAGCTTCTATGTGGGTACAGCATATAACACATGCTGTTGGTAAGTGCTGTCGAGTTGGTTCTGACTCATAGCAACCCTGTATAGAGTTTCTGAGGAGCAGCTTGTAGGTCTGAACTGTCAACTTTGCAGTTAGCAGTCCAGTGCTTATCCTGTGCTAATCAACTGTATATGTTATCGGCAAGGCAATAATAGGATCAATAATAGGTTATCAGTAGTTAACCCACACATTGCTCAATGGTCAATTGCAGCCTTTATTTTCCCACATGGATTGGGGTTACTGTCTAGTGTCCTCCCAGTTCAGTCTTGCTGTTGTTAAGTGCTGTCAAGTCGATTCTGATTCATAGTGACCCTGTATAAGGTTTCCTAGGAGCAGCTGGTGGGTTTGAACTGTTGACCTTGTGGTTTGCTGTCCAGTGCTGATCCTACAGTGCCACACCAGAAGTCCAAGAATAGCATGTAGGCAATCTAGATTTATTGTTGTTAAGTGCTGCCAAGTGGGTTTGGACTCATAGCAACCCTGTATAGGGTTTTCAAGGAGCAGCTGGTGGGTTTGAACTGCTGATCTTGTGGTTCACAGTCCAGTGCTTATCTTACAGGGCCATATCAGGAGTCTTAGGAACTCCCTTATGCATTTCTTGTGAGGTAGGTTTGTCTTTTATTTAGCTGTATCTTATCACTTTCCAGTACATGAATTTATTGATCCTATAGCTATAGCTTCCTTGGCAATTCTCGATCAACCAGAACATGGCATCCTCTCAAACACTCTTCTTGGAGAACCCCATTTACTACCAAAGTGTTCTGTAGTCTTCATCTAACAGCTAGGGTCTTAGATGGGGAAGCCAAGGCCACGAATCTCCTTCAAACAGGAGGGCTGTTGTTGTTATGTGCTGTGGAGTCGGTTCCGACTCATAGTGACCCTGCACAGGGTTTCCGAGGCTGTAAATCTTTACGGGAGCAGAAAGCTTCATCTTTCTCCCGCAGAACAGCTGGTAGTTTCAAACTGCTGACCCTGAGATTAGCAGCCTGATTCGTAACCACTATACTACTCACTGGATTGACATGGATAGCTCTTGTTCCTGCTTTCACATCACAAAGACCAAACCTCCAACAGGAGGTCTTGTTGTTGTTGTTGTTAAGTGCCATCGAGTCGGGTCCGACCCATAGCGACCCTGTACAGGGTCTAGTGAGCAGTAATAGGAGAGGTGGGCTCTCTCTCATCCACCAGAAGCTTTTTGGTCCCATGTTCTGGTTTCAAGGCTCCTCCAGGGGTAGAGAGTAAGCTTTTGGCCTCAGCAGGAGTTCCAATGTTCTGATACCTACAGGTATGCTTTAGGAGAGGGGGTGCTAGGGAACCCAGTGAGGAGAGCTTAGTGCCTGGCACACGCAGGAGGCACTGTATACGAAATAAGAGAACCCCTTGGCTCCTTTCATAGGGGAGACCTGAGCAGCTTGTGTTCTCAGCATGAAGGGGAGTCACGTAAACTGTTCACCCCTGGTCGCAGTACTTTGAATCTGAAAGGTCCCCAAGCAGTGAACCTGACTTCATTCCATGCTCTACCCAAGATGAATGGTATTCACCTCCCGCCAAGCCATAATTCTTAACACTGGAAATGTACTCCAGGAAGCTCAGTGACCCATCGATCTTGGTTTTAGTGGTAAGAGTTTTCATTGCAGCCTTGGTATCAAGAACATCAGACACAGTGGCAGCTGGCCCCAAGCCTGGACTCTGCTCCCCTAGAAAATGATCAATCAAGACACTTCTCCACAGAAAGGGGATGAACTGAATTATACCCTGCAGTCCCTCAGGCAAGTTGGGGGAGAGAATACCAAACGCTTGTAGAGGTGGAGACACACCTGAAAGGGTCAGGTGGGTGCAGAGGGATCTCTGGGAGGATGCAGGGACTTGGCCCCTCAGAGCTAAAGACTAGAAGTAGAGGGGGTTTCAAAGCCCCAGGATGTCTCGGACCTTTAAATAGCCATATGGTTCACAAGTAGTGAGCGTCGTTGTTGGGGGTCGTCAAGTCAATTCCAACTCATCGTGATCCCATGTGACACAGTTCAACTGACCCACAGGGTTTTCTTGGCTGGCGGCTTCCTAGAAGCAGATCACCAGCTCTTTTTCCTGCAGAGCTGTTGTGGGGGTTCAAAATCACCCAACTTTTGGTTGGCAGCGGAGAGCTTCATTATTTACACTGCCAGAGATCCTTGAACTTGTGGGATCATAGTGTGTACTCCCCTAGAAGTTAGGCTTGGATCTCTGGGGGGCTGTTTCTGAGAGGATTAAATGGGATGACATGGGAAGGAGGATCTGCTCACCATAGGTGTTGAACAGATATCGTCCCTGGAAGGAAACGGAGGGTCTAACTAAGATCAATCCTGCAGCTGGGAAGACAGGTGGTCTCGAGGAGCCTTGGACAGGGCCTGCTGGATGACCAAATCCCAGAACTGGAGTGGAGGGGGGAAAGAGTGCATGCCTGGACCATACTTGCCACCATCCGCAAAATACCAAACCATTGCCGCCAAATGACTTATGACCCTGCAGGGCAGAACAGAGCTGCCCCATACATAGGGTTTCCTGGTATGGTGCTGTAATATAAGAACTGGACTGTAAGGTCATTTGAACCGCAAGGTTGGCGGTTCAAACTCACCAGCTGCTCCTTGAAAACCCTATACAGGGTGGCTGTGAGCTGTAACTGACTTGATGGCACTCAACAACAACAACAGGGTTTCCAAGATTGTCATCTTTAGGGAGGCAGACTGCCCCATCTTTCTCCTGCAAGAACACCTGGTAGATGGGAACTGCCGACCTTTAACAACTGCGCCACTAGGGTTCCTTTCCTCTGCCAAGCATCCCCAATTACTGCTTGGTGCACAAACACAGGTCCTCCACGGGTGCCTACTGTAGTTTGGGCAAATCAGAGCAGTCGCCATCTTGGAGGGGAAGGGATGGCAGCATCGGGATGTGAAGCCCCGCCCTCCTCCCCCACTCAGGTAGGGGTGGTGGGGGAGGGGGAGGAAGCACAAACACAAGAGCAGCTTCCAGTGCATTTTAATCAAAATTCCATCCTCAGAGCAGTCCTTGTAGCACACAATGTTATGATGGGCATGTCAGCTGGACCCCACAAATGGAATTTCCACAGACTTGCACTTGAAACATGTATGAAAATAAAATATATAATATTTAGCTTTATACATTTCCCCGTGTTATCGTTTCATCTTTACAACAAAGGACGGCCTCTGTCCAGTGGCTCATGCAGCTTAAGAGCGACCACATGACATCTGTGTTCTTCCACAGTTCTGGGGGAAATACTGGATGGAGGTGACCCAAATCACACAGGAGTCAACGTGAGTGACAGACGAGAACACACCTCAGAGCGGGGAGACAGACAGCGGCAAGGGAACCTTCTAGTGTCTGGTCACTTCTGTGGGGCAAAGAGAAATTCCCCCAGCTACTTGGGATGGTTGGAAAAGCTGCAACTGAACTTTGGCACCAGTAGAGAGAGAGAGAGACAGAGAGAGACCTTTCAGAGGCCTACAGAGTGATACAGCATGGAATTTTCAGTCTGATGGAGCTCGGAAAGCAGCCATGGCCTATTGCTGTGACCCTGCTGCATTCGGGATCCCATCTCACAACCCCTCAGGCTGGGGGAAAGCAGGGCTCCTCCAGGAGCTGCCTCCCCACCCCCTAGCTAGAGTTGTCAGCCATGTGGAGAACAAGACAGACCTTTTTGCAGGAGTGGGGCCGAGCGGGGGTGATGCTCTGCTGAGCTTTGTCCTCAGTAGGGATGTAGGCAAACCACCAAGGACATGGTCACTCAAGCAGGATGGCCACACAGTCTTTGGAAGGAAGGGACAGGCAGGAGGCACACACAGGACACCAGAGAGCCAGGCGGGAGCGGGGTGGCTGCACTAGCATGTAAGAAGGACTCTGCGCCCCCTTCCTGCCCATAACAGGAAGGGGGCATTTGCCCCCTGTGGCTCAGGGCTTCTTCCCAGGGGACTACCCGGAAAAGCCTGCACCATCTTATTAAGAAATAAGCCAGCGACAAATACTGTCACAGGGCCTCCAATTCCCTGGGCATCGGGGCTCTGGGGGCCTTAGCCCAGCCTGGCAGGAGGTTTATACACAGTTTCATTTGGGAGCCCCGCCCCCGGGACAAGGCAGGAGGGGCTATAAGTCAAGGAGCCTCTCCTCACAGGTCTCCACCGGCCACTTGGAGGCCCCTCCGAACACCTCGACGTTGTTGTCCACCCAGGGGATGATGTTGCCCGGCATGTTGGTGGAGCAGTTAGCGATGTTAACAATTTCGTGCGCGCGCAGGACCCGGTCCCATATGTTGAACTGGCTGAGTTCTCCCACAAATGCCTGAGTGGCATCAAACCTGCCCCCAACTGTGTCCTGAGAAATGGGAACGAAAATCAACATCACTGAAGGATCTAAGGCAAACAGACGGGAATTGGGGGGGGGGGTGGGGGGCGGGGAATAGGTCCGAGAGTGGAGTGCATGGGTGTACCATGTGAGTGCGCATGCACCCAAGCATCTGTCTCCTCCATCCTTGGTCACACTCCCTCCTCTATTCCCACAGGTTCTGAAGGACTACGGTATGTCAGAACTGGCATAGGTTTGGGGACGGCTCTCTTCAAATCACCCCAGAGGCTAGAAGGGGGGACACTTACCTAAAGCTAGAATCAGAGCCAGGTCTCCTCCCAAGGTTAATGTAATTGAGGTTAGAGGGTGGGCGAGAACCAGCAGGGAAATGGGCCTTTCCTACAAGGCTGGCCTGGCACTGCCTCAAACACAGACTGAAACACTGCTGCTCATCTGCCCCAGTGAGCCCAGCCGGCCAGCCTTTCCATTGTCTCTCCCCTGGATGGCGCATGTCTGGAGAACAGTCTCTGGGGGCACCCCCATCCTTATTCCCTAAGTACCCCTGGTGGGTATCAGGGCTGAACCCCTGAGTAGGGATCAGCAACCACAGGCTGACACCTAGATGCACAGGGCATCCGGGAGGTGGTCCTTCCCTTCCACAACCTCCCCTAACAGGGAAGGTGCAGCGGAGTCACTCACTGGCCCGGGGACTGCAGGGCCCTCCTGAGCCACTAAGCCAGGAAAGTGAGGTCACATCCCCTCAGTCACAAACAAGACAGCAGATAGCTGTCCTGCTGTACCCACCTGTTCCTGGCCGAGGATCAGCACTCCCCCCGGCTTGATGGGGTGCCAGGGGGCCAGGTTCTCACCGGTGCCCAGCTTCTCCCCATCCTGGAAGGCCTCCCACAGACCATCCCGAGTCGTCCAGGTGATACAGATATGGTGCCACTTGCCATCGCTGACAAACAGGGGCAGCTGGGTGACCTGTGGATGGCACGTGTGGTGAGGACCTGCTGGGCCCAGCTCCCACAGAGTCCTCCAAGAGCAGGAAGCAAGAGGCTCATGGGAAGGTACTCGTCTGTGCCGTGTGAGTAACACGCCCACACCCAACTATGTCAGAAGGGACCCTTGAGGGGGCGGGCCCTGTGCCTGAGAACAGATGCTCAGAGGAAAGTGGGCAGTCCTGATTTTCAGCTGGATGTCCTCCGTCCCTGGCAGGCTGTAGACCCAAGGTACCATGCAGGTCAAGCTGCTGACCTCAAGCTAGAGATCATGAGAAGAAGAATGTTTTGGGGATGTTTGTGGGTCATAAAAACCACATGTTAAACCAGTTGTCATCATGTTCATCCTGACTCAGGAAGCCCTCACTGTGCGTCAGAGAAGAACTGTACGGCATGGGGTTTTTAATGACTATGATGTTTTAGAAGTAGACAGTCAGGCCTTTCTTCCGAAGTACCTCTATGAGGACTGGAACCTCCAACCTCTGGGTTCTGAGCAGAGTGTTTAATTAACTTTGGAGAAACCCATATCATAAAACTTGCACTGTGGCCTTTAGGGAGGGACTGAGGACCTGCCTGTGAGCTGAGTCCTCCCAGTGAAGAGGCAGGGCAGACTCCAGACACACCTGAGTATGTGTGTGTGCAGGAGGGGGCATTCCACATGAGACCCCCACCATGTCCACCGCCTCTCCGGCTCTGAGGGCACTTGACAGATTGGCCCACTGTCAGCCACCCAATTGTTACTGCTGGTCTCCTAGCAACCCAGGGCTTCCTCCCAGGAGTCTGATGTTTACAAGATGTGTAAATGGAGGGAAAACAAGGCCCTTGGCTCAACTGGTCCAATGGTGTGATTTAGAGCAATTAATCTCTGGCTTGGGAAGCGGTCATTACTAAGAGGAGCCCAGTGGGAAGATGTCACAGTGTTTCCAACTTCAACAAACTCTGCAAGGGATATTAGGGGCTGGTAGGGGAGGATGGTGTGCCCCTGGACCTCAGCCACAGGGGCGTTGGTGCAAATGCTCAAATCCAGCACCGAGGGTCTGAGGATAGTATGTTACAAAGGGATAGCAACTCTGAGGAGAGAGAACACATTAGTGGTGCCAGGGCAGGGCTGGCTACAAAGGGGTGTAAAGCTGTTGTGTATTTCCATAGTGGGTAGTCATTCAATTGTGTGTGTCCATCAAGTTTGGTTGAATGGTACATGAGAATTTTACAGTCTGCCAGTCATCTCCCAATATGCCTGGAGCCTCCAGTGTACTACTGTGTGTTCATGAGAAGTATCGCTTGCTCAACAAGGGAGGTACACAACCCCTACTCATAATCAGCACCACCCTGTAAGCAGCTCTCCCAGTATGGAGCCCCCAGCCCCTTGGTTCCTTACACTCCCCCGGTGCCCAGAGCAGACTCAGGGCAGAACGCCACAAGGTGTGGTTGCTTACCCCCTGCCCCATCGGCTGCTAAGCATAGGAAAAACTCAGTGCAAAGCCATCCCCACTGTGGGAGGAACAGTCCCACAGACTCTCTCAAACAAGAGACCCAGGCCAATTTGTATCTGCAGGGCTGCATTCATGACAGGGCCCCGCGGCACCCCTCTGTCCATTGCCACGTCCCAGCAGGCTCACCTTGTCATTGATGAGCAGCTCAATAGGGTTGTTGCCCCACTCGATAAGCACGATCTCATTGGCCTGCCCGGGCACTGCATACGAGAAAGGGGTGCCAATGCCTGGCGAGGCACTGGACCGCAGCCACAGGCAGATGGTGAAAGCGTACAACTCAGGTAGTGTCTTCTTGATCTTGCCGTACAGGTAGTTCGTGCGGAGCGGGAGAGACACTTTGAAGGCATCAGGCGACTTAAATGTACTTTGGCCTGGGCAGAGAGAGGAAAAGGACATTAAGACCACCCTCAGCCCTGCCTGTCTCCACTGGGACACTCAAAATGTCCGTTCTTTCATCTACTGAGCACCCGCCACTGCCAGACACTACTCCGAGTAAAACGTCTGCAGTAAAATGTGGAGAGACAAATGTCTACAGTGGCTATCAGGAATAGGAGAGAAATCCATTGCAGTCAAGTTGATCCTGACTCATAGTGAGCCTGTGTTCAGAGTAGAACAGATCCATTGGGTTTCCAAAGCTGTAACCTTCATGAAAGCAGAATGTCATATCTTTCTCCCACAGAACATGATTTGAACTGCTGACCTCTTGGTAGATATTTGGCAACCACGACAGCATGATGAATATAATGGGTGTCATACACCTGAAAACAGCTGACTTGACCACTGTTGTATTGTATAGAGAAACCTGTGAGAGCCAGAACTCAACAGGAATGCTTTGCTTTGTTGAGTCTTGTCAAGTTTTTCAGCCTTTGATAAAGTGCAGTCTTTTCACTTTTCTCTCACAGCTCTTGGATTTATGCACATATTTGAGTTTTCCTTTTTTAATGGTTTTCTGCCTTACACAGATTCCGGCTTTCACAGGTTTGACAGTCTATTTTTATAACAAACATTCCTCAAGTCCTCCAGAATCTCTGCCTTCAGGGGGCAAGTCATGGGTCAGTGACCCCAGGGCAGGTTACGGTGATCAGCAATAAGAGGCATGAAAGGTGAAGCCATCTGAGGAGGTGAATCTGAGCTCAAACCTCAAACCCACAGAATGAAACGTCATGGGACAGAAAGATCTGGGGATCAGAACACCATACACAGAAGAAATTTTCGGAAGGCCAGGAAAGTAAGGGAGAAGGGAGTGTTTTGTGCTGCAAGGCAGAGGGCACTTTCAAGAAAAGCAGCCTTGGTGGTGCAGGGAATTTAGTGTTGGGCTGCTAGCTGCAAGGTTGGAGGTTCTAATCCATCAGACGCTGCTCGGGAGAAAAGCTGAGGCTGTTGGCGCCTGTAAAGAAGTACAGTCTTGGAAACCCCAAGGAGCAGTTCTATTCTGTCTACAGAGTTGCTATAAGTTGGAATAGACTCATTGGCAGTGGTTTTAGGACAGGAAATGAGTCCTTTTTCAACCCAGAAGAAAAAAAAAAATCACCCTAGATTAAGGTGTTGTTAAGTGCTGCAGAGTCAGTTCCAACTCATAGTAGCCCTATGTAGGGTTTCCAAGGATCTGCAGGTGGGTTTGAACCACCGACCTTGCAGTTCAAAGTGACTCTGCAGTCCAGAACTTTTCCTACAGTGCCACACCTAGACTCCATTGTTGTTGTTAAGTGCTGTCAAGTCAGTTCCGACTCACAGCGATCCTATATATATAGGGTTTACAAGGAGTGGTTGGTGAGTCTGAACCACTGACCTTATGCTTCAAACCAACCTTGAGGTCTAGTTCTTATCCTACAGTGCCACACCATGGCTCCATAGGTTAGGTCTAATACCTACTATTTCCACTGTTGTTATCTGGTAATGAGAGGCTCTGGAGTGGGGTGTAAACGGTTAAACTCTCAACGACTAGCTTGAAGGCTGAAGCTCTACTTCTGAAACATCAACCACTGGAAATCCCTACTGAGTGTAGTTCTCCTGTGACACACATGGGGACGCCAGAAGTTGAGGCTGATTTGATGGCATCTGGTCAGCAGAAAGTCTCACTGGGCCAGGTATTCGATAAGCACTTGTTACCTCAAAGGACTGGTCACTCCTCACACTACAGAATTAACAAGGACTTGGCTCCTGTAATGTGACTCTATCCTGGAGACCAAAAGTGGCTTTCAGATGAAATCTCTGAGGTGAAGCGCTGGCCCCATGACCTGCCCTTTCCTCCTCTAGGGAAGGCTGAGTTATTGACCATTTCCTAGTTTGGAACCAGTGGGAAGCTGCACCCTGGCACAACTCAGAGCAATGCAGAGATGTCTCTGGTACTTTACACTAACTGGACCTTAACACGCAGGATGCTATCTTACCACACACATGCCTGACCGTGGTGTGACACCCTTGGAGGCCCCCACGTGTGAAGGGCACATCCACATTTCTTCACAATAATCGTTATTCTGAAATGGATTTAAGTAATTTTCAATACACCTTTGGTTTAACCTCAAAATTAGAGCTAAAAAAAAAAAAAGATAAACAGGTGGAAGGCAGGGCCCTGTCCAGCGTATCATATATTTCAAAATTTGTGGGGTACCACTGGATTTCGTGAACTATTACAGCAAAAACTACCTCTCTTCTTTGGGGTCCAAACCCTGCTGGTGGAAGAGCCCAAACCCCATTCACTCAGTCAACAAATACTTATTTCGGACCTACTAGGAACTAGCCTGGAGTCCTCGCATGTGGTACTATAGGATAAGCACTGGACCACGAAGTTGGCTTGAACTGCAAAGTTGGTGGTTCAAATCCACCAGCTGCTCCTTGAAACCCTGTGCAAGGTTGTTATGAATCAGAACTAACTTGGCACTTAACAACAACAGGAATGTCTCTGCTGTGGTGCTGTAGGATAAACATTGGACTCTTAACCACAAAACCAGCAGTTCAAACCCACCAGCTGCTCTTAGAAACCCCATACAAGGGTTCCTATGAGTCAGACCAAACTCGATAGTACTTAACAACAAAGACGCCAAAGGAGCCCTGGTAGTGTAGTGAGTTACATGTTGGGCTGCTGACCGTAAGGTGCTGTACAGAATAAAGATTAGGCTTTCTGCTCCCATCAAGATGTAGAGCCTCAGAAACCCTCTACAGCGTTGCTATGAGTTGGAACTGACTCAATGGCACACAGCCAGCCAGGTAGGTACACAGAGGGAGCCCTACTGATTCAGTGGTTAAAGCACCCGATTGTAATCAAGAGGTTGGCAGCTGGAACCCACCAACCATTCAACAGGAGAAAGATGAGGCAGACTTGCTCTAATAAATATTTACAGCCTCAGAAACTCTAAGGAGCAATTCTATCCTATCCTGTAGGATTTCCGTGAGCTGGAATCAACTCCACAGCAGTGGGTGGGAGGAGTCAGCAGGAGTCCCAGCGTGCTGCAAATGGTTGATGTACTTGGCTGCTAGTCTGGAGGTTCAAGTTCTCCCAGAGGTACCTCAGAAGAAAGGCCTGGCAATTAACTTCTTAAAAGTCAGCCATTGAAAAACCCAGTGGAGCACAGTTCTACTCTGACATATGAGCCAGAGTGAACTCTATGACAACTGGATATGCGGTCAGAAAGTCTCCATCAGACAGACAAGGTTCTCCAGAGCCAGTATTGGCCTTCTGGACTCTCTATGAATGAAGACAGCCAGACTAGTAAACTCTATAAACCACAATCCCCTAAACTCACTTTCTTCCATAGTCATGAGAAAAGCTCTCAGTGCCACGTTGCCCACCCACCAAGAGGGGACCTGTGCTGAGATAAGAGGGCCCAGGGGCTTCTGTAACCACTAGAATCTGGGCCTTGTGTGCAGTGTTTGCTTGTATCTGCAGATTGCACAGTGGTTGGCCTGATCCATCCTGGCCCCTGAGGTGAGTGCTGGGAAGACCTGGTCATATGGGGAGCAGGCAGACTGAGACTGATCCTGTATTAGGCTGAAGCGAAGTAGAGCCATAACTCCCATATTTCACAGGCAGCCCAGTCCAGGCACTGAGGCTCAAAGAAGTGTGATGATTTTCCCAAGGTCACACAGCTAGTAGGTAGCAGAGCAGGGAAAAGCCCTCTTTCCACTATATATACCAACGGACATTGAGCCAATTCTAACTCACAGTGACCATATGTGTGTCAGAGTAAAACTGTGCTCCATTGGATTTTCAATGACCAAGTTTTTAGAAGGAGATTGCCAGGCCTTTCTTATGAGGTATCTTTGGGTAGATTCGAACTTCCAAACTTTTGGTTAGCAGCTGAGCCTATTAACTGTTTATACTAAGTGGCAATTGACCACATCCTTTAAAAAGGCATTGCCATCAAGTAAAGAAAAATGGGTTCAGGTCTGGCAGGTGGCTGGCTTGCCAACTTATTAATAAGACTCAGTGTCAAAAATCTCATTAGCTTGGTGACCATAGATTTAATTAGAGTTGGGGAAGCCAAGGGGCAGCAGAGGGGGCTGTACTCTTGATGTTGGTGGCCTTTCATTAGGTAGCATACATAGCATGGCAGTTCCAAGGAAACTCTAGGAAGCCTAGGGAGACATGAGAAGGCCTGAAACTGCAGGTGGAGGGCATGGTATGGTGGAGGGTCCAGGGCTCCTCGATGTGGGTGTTTCTTTCAACCACTTTACCCAATGCTAACTTCAAGGTCAGTGGTTCAAGCTCACCAGCTACTCCTTGGAAACCCTATATAGGGTCGCTATGGGTCAGAATGGATTCGACAGCACTTAACAACAACACCCTATGTAAACAGGTATTAACGCAGGTCCTTGTAGCAACTCAGCCACCAAACCAAACGACAGATGCAGCCCCCAGGATCTCTGACAACTGTCCTTTTAAGATTCTAAATACCTACAGTATGCTTATCCTGTACTCAGAACGTCCCCATGCTCTGAGGAGGTGAAGGCTGGGGCAGAGGCAGGTGAACCCCGCTGACTTTTTGTCTCATTTCTGCCTCCTCTCCCCATGTTAGGAAGAGAGGCCAAAGCTGCATTGTCTGCCTTTTGGGAAGGCTCTTGAGACATAATCAGTTTTCTGAGGTCAACAAGAATTGAGGCCCAGATGAAACCTTTTTCAGAAACTCAAGTCTAAGTCATTACTCACTCTTTTCTGAAAAGGGTCAAGGATTTTTCTGGAAGTAGAGGCCCGGTGAAGGAGCTCTGGTAGCGTAATGGTTACAAATCGGGCTACTAACATCAAGGTCGGCAGTTCGAAACTACCAGCTGTTCCGCGGGAGAAAGATGAGGCTTTCTGCTTCCGTAAAGATTTACAGCCTTGGAAACCCTGTACAGGGTCACTATGAGTCGGAACTGACTCTATGGTACCTAACAACAACAGGAGCCCAGGTGAGTAATGGAGGCTACCTATGGATTCTGGAATCTGCAGAGTACTACCATCCTCCCCTTGGTGGATTCCAGCTGGCCCTCCTCAGCCAATGCCATTAAAAGACGAAGAGAATGTTCTTCAGTAAGTCCATTTTCCTGTTCTTTCATGAGGTTGAGTAGCCAGACACCATTGCTGCTGGATTGATTAGCCTTCATTTGGGAAGCCTGTCATCCCAGACCCACCAGCAGCAAACTTACACCATCACACCCAGTTCTCCCAGCAGTTGGATGGCTGATCAGACAATCGGAATGAACGTGGGCTTTTAATCCCTCCCCTTCATCTCTCCTGTGAGAGGAATGTAACTACCAGGCTGTGAGCAGAGAAGTGCAGAATGCACAGAAACAGCTACAAGGACTAGCCCACTGCCATCAAGTCCGTTCTGACTCAGGGCCACCCTAATGGACAAGGAGAACTGCTCCATAGGATTTCTGAGACCATCCATCTTTATGGAAGCAGAACTGCTTCATCTTTCTCCCATGGAGCAAGACTTTTTGTCTCATTGCTGCCTCCCCTCCCCTCCCTGTGTTAGGAAGAGAGGCCAAAGCGGCATCATCTGCCTTTGGGGAAGGCTCTCGAGACATAATCGGTTTTAATGAGGTCAACAAGGTGGGTTACAACTGCTGACCTTTTGGTCAGCAGCTGAGTGCTCAACCACAGCACCACCAGGGCTCCTGGACTGGTTCAGAAGGGGAATGAAAAGCCCATGTGGCAGGTCGGGAATTAGGTGGTTTGATTTTTCATGGATAGCGGCAGTGATGTGCAGGGGAACCATGGTCAGTTGCTCTGTGTTTGCTCCCACACACCTGACACTGTCTTCTAATTGGGCCACATCATGCTGCCCATCACTGATATATCAGATCTTGAGGACACAACGATGTCATCAGAGTCACTGAACCCTTCAGAGTCCTTCTGCCGTCTCCCCTTCCCTATCTCTGCAGCTTAGGGGTGGGGGTTGGGAGGCACCCCAAGAACCAGTAAAGCATTCACCTCGCTCCAGCTCGGCCACCCTCTGCAGCAGGGCATTCAGGGTGCTCTCGGTCTTTAGCCGGTGAGCTGAGGTCTCATTGTGGAGCAGAGATTTCTCGTCCTGGAGCTCAGCCACCTTGCTCAGCAGCTGCCGCTCCAGCTCTCCAAGCCGTCTCTGGAGCACCTCCCGGAAGTCACTGGGGAGCACAGCATTCGACATGTTCCCTCGGAGCTGGTGCTGGGGGAGGGAGGGATGGGAGATGAGAGAACACAGAGGGAGGAGTCAGGTCAGGTAGAAAGAAACCAGGTCCTACTGGACTGAGCGAGCAGACTCCAGTGGCCAGAAGCATGGAAAACAGTCTCCAAAACACAGAGCCTTTAATCTGCCAGTGGTTCAAAGAAAGCATGCTTTTTTTTAGCGGGGAGGGGCTCTGGAAAGGATTTTAAAGACAGACACAAGGATGACTTTCTTGCAATATCTGAAATTTGTGGATCTACTTTTCCCTCTCAGAAAGCTGTTTTTGTCTTCCAACTAACTAAAAAGTCAAAATGCTAACCAGGTAAAGGTAAAGACCAAGATACAGCTAGTCCCCACCCACCCCCACCAAAAAAAAAAAAACAACCCAAAACCCACTGCTATCAGGTCAATTCTGACTCATATTGAACCTGTTGGACAGAGTAGAACTGCCCCATCAGGTCTCCAGAACTGAATTTTTACAGAAGTAGATTGCCACACGGGGCTGAATTCAAACCACTGACCTCGGTTGAACAGCTGAGCTCTTAAACACTGTGCCACTTAATCAAATGGTACTCAAAACAGAAAAGTTTCTATCTAGAAACAAACCAGCCTCCAAAGTTCCAGTGTGGCAGGAAGGTAAATAAGTAGGCTTGCAGAAATGTTATCAGGAGTGGCATGTGGAAAACTGACTCCTCTGAATTCCAAACGTCTTTGTTGTAAACGCGGCCTCTGGAGACAAGACTGCTGCTACCCAGTCTTGGCAAGTTATTTAGTCCTTGTTTTTTTTTTTTGGTCTAGTTGAAAGGAGCCTCATGATGCACTGGGTAAAGCACTGGACTGTTAAATCAAAGGTGGGTAACTCCAGAAAGGAAAGGTGAGGCAGTCTATTTCTATAAAGATTTACCCTTACAGAGACTCTGTCCTGGTGTGGCGCTGTGGGTTAATGTGCCAACCTGCAAAGCCGTTTGAACTGCAAGGTCGGTGGCTCAAGCTCACCAGCTGCTCCTTGGAAACCCTGTACAGGGTTGCTATGGGTCGGAATCGACTCGACAACGCTTGACAACAACAACAACATGGGCAGTTTTAAGGAGCTCTGGTAGCATAGTGGTTATGAATCGGGCTGCTAACCTCAGGATCAGCAGTATGAAACTACCAGCTGTTCCACAGGAGAAAGATGAGGCTTTCTGCTCCCGTAAAGATTTACAGCCTTGGAAATCCTGTACAGGGTCGCTATGAGTCGGAACTGACTCCACGGCATATAACAACAACAACCACCACGGGGCTGTTTTGGCAGTTTTGCTCTCTATGACCTCATGACACATAACAACAACAACAGGGTCGCTACAAGTCAAAATTGACTCTATAATTTAGGTGTTTTGGGTTTTTTTTTTTTTCCTTTTCTTCATGTCAGAATGCTCCAAACTGTAAAATTCAGATAATAAAAACTGCCTCCTTCAGATTAAGATTAGATAATATGCCTGATGCATGCATAACATTCAGCAAATGTTAGCTGGTTATTAATCATAATGAATCAAGGGATGTACAGATGCTGAAAATACTCTATTTGGCCATCATGCACGCCACAGGCAATCCCTCAAATCATCTGGTTATAATTACCATTGAAATAATTACAATTGAAATCTAGTTTTGCTAACAGGTATTTTGATCACTGTTTTTAACAGAAAAAGAGTCCTGGTGTGAAGCTTTAGGATAAGCACTGGACCGCAAGGTCAGTCTGAACCACAAGGTTGGAGGTTCGAACTCACCTTGGAAACCTTATACAGAGTCACTATGAGTCAGAACTGACTCAGTGATACTGAGCAACACCAACATTAACAGAAAAAGGAGCCCTGGTGGTTAAATGCTTGGCTGTGAACCAGAGGTTGATGGATTAAAAGAAACCTGAAGTTAGATTCAAACCAAACCAAGCCTACTCATAGTGACCCTATAGGACAGAATGGATCTGTCCCATAGGGTTTCCAAATCTTTGCTGAAACCGACTGCCTCATTTTTCTACCAGGGAGACTGGTCAGTTTATTCCACTGATCCATAAACGTATCAGCCTAGAAAACCTTATAGGGCAATTCTACAGCAAATGAAGAGAAATGGCCATAAGTAATTAGGGCGGAAGGTGAACCTGAAACTGAAGACTTTTCTCTCCAAGTTCAAAACTGCAACCCTGTTCCAACAAAGAGCAGACGGAGGTTTCCTCCCCGAAAAAAAAGGAATGGAGAAGGGCATCTTAAAAACACCTAGCGCCAGTTGAGGTGGCTCTGAAGTTCACAAGATGTTTCCTCTACGTTCGGAACTACCGAAGGAAGGCTGTGACAGGAGGGCGTGCGCTCCTCGCCTGCGTGCTCAGTCCAGCAGGACCGAGTTAATAAGAGGGCACACCGGAGGATCGTGGCTCTGCGAACCCGTGGCTCTCCACCAGGACCTCAGTCCCAGCGCGCGTGGGGTGGGGGTGGGGGGGTATTAACTCTTTCCTTCCAGGCCGAGAGGCCAGGTAGTTGAGGAGGAAAGTCAGATGATGTTGGGTCCCGTCGTCGACACCGACTCATAGCGACCCTATGTGACAGAGCAGAACAGCCTCATAGGGTTTCCTAGACTGCCATCTTTTCATCTTTACGGAAGCAGAGTGCCAGGTCTTTCTCCCGCAGAACCGCTGGGTGAGTTTGGGCAGTCGAGCTTAGTATAACCTATGCAGCCACCCCCGGGGTTCTTTGCAGAGATGGGGAACCCTCCCTCTAGATCTGGATCAGCCCGTGGACAAGGTGGCCCCAGGCAGGCGTCCCCAGAGTCCCCACCAGCTACCTCGAGGCTCTCCAGACGGTCCTTAAGAGTCTGCAGCGAGCGGCTAAGCTGCTCCACGACGTGGGCCGGATCGCGCGGTAGGTCGCCCATGGTGGCGTCCTTGCCCGCGGCAGTCCTGCCGGGTGCCTTGCTGCGCGCCAGCCCCTCGCAGCGCGCCAGCTTGCCGGTCAGCTCGTGGATGGCTTCGCGCTGCGCGCCCAGGGTCTCCTTCTGCTGCACGACGGTTTCCCGCAGCTGCAGCACCGCGGCCCGCAGCTCCTCCTCTGGGCTCGGCGCGCCGCCCTGCATGGGCGCCGCGGGCAGCGGGCAGCCAACGCGCGCCGCCTCCGGGGGTAGCGCGGTGCACACGAAGCGGCTCCCGGGCGTCGGGCCGTCCTGGGCTGCGATGGCCACGGCGAGCGCCACGCTGGCGGCCAGTAGCGCCAGCATCTCGCCGAGGGGTTCAGCTCCGCATGGACTGCGGGCGGCTGTCTGAGCGGAGGCCGTCAGCGCTTTGGCTGTTCCCAACCGTACTCTCTGCTAAGCAAGACGCTCCCGGTCGGGCCAGCGCGCGCCCTTTCTTAAGTTGGGGTGGGCGGGGCCGGCGCGTGGGGCGCGGCGCCGCGAGCTCTGATTGGCCAGGCCTGGCGTGCGTCACGTGAGGGGCGTGGAACGGGCGGGTCCTAGTGGGGCTGTCTTCTCTTAGGCTCAGCCAGCTCCTGAGGCGCTAACGGGGTATCTTTGCGACCCTCCGGAAGGGGCTCTGAGGTAAAAGACCACCCTGGTGTCCTCCGGAGCCTCGACTCGCTCTGTTCAGGCTCCTCTCGGAACTACTGGAGCACGCAGGCGTCCCGGGCTGTAGCGAACCCGGAGTTCTGAGAGCCCCCTCCCCCCATCCCTCAGCGGCAGCTGGACTTCCGGCGTGGCGAGAAGCCTTTCAGTGTTTTGCGCAGCCTGGGGGGCCGAGATGTCACCTCAACTTCACAGAAAAGGAAGAGGAGTCCCAGGACTGCTAACGCTAGCCGCCCCACCATGCTCTGTAAAGGCGGGAAGGAGACAGACGACGGCTGCCTCAGAGTTGGGGACAGTTTCATGTCCCCCTCACTACATGACTTCGAGGGGGGCACCTGGAAAGAATTCCCACGCCTGCGGGGACCATGAACGGGTGTCCGACGTTGATGGGGGGAGGGGACACCAAAGTCACCAGGCCATGAGCAGTGTCCCCCCTGTGTCCAATGACAGCCCTGTAGAGGGTGACCTTTCTCCAGTCAGACCTGGGCTTGATGGGGTTCATCAACTGGAGTCACCTTGTCCACGGGCATCCCCATGACCAGGTCCCAGAGGAGACACCTGTTCCCAGACTCTTGGAGAGAACAGACAGGCACAGAAGCAACCCCCAAGAGCAGGAACAAATTTATTGCAATATCCTGCCTGACTCACAAGTTTTGAGAGCTTTCGATGCCCAGCTATACACGGAGCTGGTTTACTGTGCCATAGAAATGGAAATCTTGCTTTATTATTTTTCTGAAATCCAATTGCAAGGTCGTTAATCACATTATACCAGAAACAAATGGATTTGTCGCTTATGCACAGAAGCTGGGGTGGGTTGTGAAAACAAATCGTATCAAAATAAATGAAATGACAATGCTAATATAAATGGGAGACTGCAAGGATTCATCTCCAGAAACCCAAATTCTGACTTGCTTTGCACTTCAAACAATAGCTTCTGTTATGTAAATTGTGGTGGGGTTTTCAAGGACTATGTTGCAAAATCACCAGAAGAGTCTGATTCAGGAAAATCTCTCATTGGTTAAAGATTAAAGCCAGGAGACCTGGTTTACACAACCCCTAGAGCAGCAGACAATGGAAAGAATGATGGTTCAGGTAAGATAAGAGGTAAGAAAAGATAGAGTTAAAGCTGTTAAAGTGCGGTTCTGACTCATAGTGACCCTGCATAGGGTTTCCAAGGAGCAGTTGGTGGATTTGAACCGCCAACCTTGAACTTCAAACTGACCTCACAGTCCAATGCATTATCCCACAGCGCCACATCAAACTCCAAAAAGATAATGGGAGATGGATGATGGCCAAATGTCTGTTGGTCTTTGTCTTCAGAAGACATCAGTTTCACCTTGAGACTATGACCTTGATATGAATCATTCCTCCTACATCCTTCTTACTTCAGTTTCTTGGAAGCTCCAGAAGTTCAAATAAACCCACATACTCACACTTCCCATCATGAATGGAATGAGGTTTCCAAGCACTTTAGAAATCTTAAGAGGATCTCATGAGGCCACAAATCCAGCCCTGTTCAGAATTAGCCTGCTAAGGATGTGATTTTGAACTTTCAATTATTGGTTCAAGGTTCTCATACTAGGTGGTTCTTGGCCCAAGAAATTCTTAGTCAGATGCTACAATACAATTCTAGCATATATTGTTCCTCTCATCCTTTCTGGACACAAATGGATGCATCCATATTTGCAAGTACTTAACATAGAGGTTTGAGCCTTCAGTAATGGAATAAAATCAAACTTATTCCCAGAATTCTAATTTCCTTCTGAAGAAAGTAAGCAGTGTACAAGAACATAAAAATGATAATACAATATAGATCCCCAAATAATTACTCTTCAGTTTCTCAAAAAAAGATTATAATACTGGAAATGATCAGCAAAATTGCCAAAGCCAAGATGGAGAGACCCAAGTCATTGAAGACGTTATTATCTTTGGAAGCTGTAGAATTAGGGGTCTTAGTTAAGAGGCTAAATGCTGTTTAGGATTTTATTTTGTCTCGCTGGTACAGGGGAAAGTTTGCTGGCTTACAAAAGCTGATACTAAGTCTTAATACCAGCTTTGTCATCAGCTAAGTAGTATGAGATGTCTTTTCTTGCCTGGATCTCAGTTTTGTTAGAAGACTAGACTTTCCAAGTTCCCTTTTAGCTAAACTCAAGAACTGACAGTCTGAGAGAGAGAAAAAGAACCACAGCTCAGTGTGATGGCTAGAAGGAAGAGCAGAGCCTTATTCTTTTTTGTATTACGAACTACTTGCAACCAAAGGTGAGTTGGGGAGGCAGGATAGTTATGTATAGAACAGGTCAACTTCACATCAGAAGATATTGTTGCTATGGTTGAAAACCTGCTTTTGACGACATGAAAGCTCATCCTTGTTTTACTCACAGCACAAAACCCTCATCTACCTGAAAGAGCCTGTAGAGCTGACTCATGCCACCCATGTGCCTACGTGCGTGGCAGAGACCAAGGCCCACAGATTTTCCTCCACTTGAAAAGTCGTGCAGCCTTGTAGCAGTGAATCAGCTCCAGCGAAGCTCTTAGTGTAACTGATGCTGCAGCATAGTAGCCACCCACTCATTCACTATGTCTCCTGACTCTCAGGTCAGCTGAGAACCCAGCCTGGACTTACACCATGTGCTGGGAATCCTGATGAGCTCATTCCGCCTCCATTTCATTGCCCCCATCTGTTTGGTTCCCTTGTTCCTCTCACATGCATTTTTATCTTGGTCTTATGGGAAATGTGCTAATTTCCACCATAGTGTCAGAGAATCCCATTTCATCCTTTCTCACAGTTCCTCCTCTCTTCTCAATTCTACTGGGAAGTCAAGAGTGAGGGTGGAAACTCAGTAAGTAACACGGAATCCAAGGACAACTTCCTGCAGCTGTGACTCAGGAACTGTCCTTGGTGCTGAATAGGAGGAGCAAAATGATACAGATATATATTTTTGGAGTGGGATTCAGTATAGATACAACAGAATTTGGAAGCTTCTGAGAATCCTAACTAATACCCATTTATGCCTAAAGTTATAAGACCCTTTCACAAGTAAAGTTTTCACTAGACCGAGCTGCATGGCAGAATGGAAAGAACATGAACTTTGTAGATAGGCTGCACTTGGTTCATTTCCCAGTTCTATAACTTGCCATCTGACCTTGAGCTAATGACTTAACCTCTCTGAGCCTCAGTTGTACTTATCTAAATTTGCATATTGTTGTCAGGCTGGAGTGAGATAATGTATGTGAACATGTATCTGGCATATAGTAGGTGCACACTACACTCTAATTGTCCTTTTCCCTTTTTCTCCACTGAATTCAAAGCTGGATGATAGTTTTTTTGTTGTTGTTGTTTTTAAATGAGGTTTAGACTTCACTTTCTACACTATCCACTTAGAATGAAGTAAGGCAAGAGTTCTTGAGAAAGAACAAGCTAACCTCCTTAGAGGAAGCAGAGGGGAGGAGCTATTTTAGGAAAACTTGCTGGTGTCGTAGGAAGAGGATGATTGCCGACTTTGTGATCTTTCTCAAAAAGATAAAGCATTTAATTTTTGAGCTCTAAATCAGATGATTTGGACTCCTGGTATGGCAATATAGGAACAGCACTGGACTGCGAACCACAAAGTCAGCAGTTCAAACCCACCAGCTGCTCCTAGGAAACACTATACACGATTGCTATGAGTCGAAACCAACTTGAAGACAACTGAGGATTCAGTCAAACTGAATGATTTCATTAAGTTACATTAGACTTGTGTACCCAAACCCATCTAAAAGATTTATAATAATTAACATTTCATTGATTCTGA